CTATTCCAATTATCCCCTTTTTAAGCTGAGATGCAGTACAGTAGTGGATACATTTTGTTTGCGGGACCGATTGAAACGATTGAAACAAAGTCCCGTGTGGTTGACAGCCTGTGGGCGGAAGGTCCCCTCCACCAAAGCAGTTGAAATCCCTTTTGTCTTCACCACATTCCTATACACGCACAGTCACTTGCTTCTGTTGTGGGTAATAAACTGGAGGAAGCATGCTCTGAGGCAACACGTTTATTATAACATCAACAGACTGCAACACAAAAGGAGGGAGTCCCTCCGGGCGAGCTCGCCTCTCACGAGCTATAACTACGCCTGCACTGCTTGGGCTTGAGTCGCCCCTTGAATCTTCACTGGTTATAAGCTGGAGCTTTCACTGGTACAAGCTCGAGCCGACCCTAGCCAGGGGGTTCGGCTCTGCCCATTGGGCTCTTCTCTTCAGGGCTCCAGGATGCTCTTCAATCTTCGGCCGGACGATGACTTCCGGCACTGTTCAGAGGTCCGGCTTTTATACAGAGTCCGTGGCTCGCTCCGCCCCGGCCACGCCTTCCTTCCAGAACCTTCCAGCAGGTCCTGGGAGGGTGACGTCATCCCCCAGCTCCCTCCTGGGGTCTGGGTCCCTGGATCCGCTATCCCATCGGGGTCACCGTTGGTCCCTTGGGCCGCAGTTCTTGGATTATTGGGCTCAGTCACTCTTCCGCCCCCTATTGACAGAAGCTGGTACTGCCGGATATGAGTAGTGGCAATCATGTCCAGCCATGCCACCACAGTTCTATGACTGGTCCGCTCTTATTCTGGGTTCTTTCGGTAAAGTCACGTAGAAGGGAAATAATAAAATAATACAAATAAAACAATAAAATAACCTACGTGACTTTACCGAAAGAACCAAGAATATGAATCCCTGCAGTCACGAAAGCTTTAAATCGAAATTTAGTCCGCTCTTGTGAGTTACTGAGTGGCGGATGTGGGTTAGTTCAGGACACGTGACGGGCGATAATAACTACGGAGTGCAAACTCCAATAGAGAAAGTTACGTATAGATTTGAAGCTTTCGTGACTGCAGGAATCCATACTCTCTGGTTCTTTCGGGTTTTTTTATATAAAAATTAAATTTTTATTTTATACCTACGTGACTTTACCGAAAGATTCAAACAGTAAAGTTACGCATGTGTTGAACTTCTTTCACACCTTACGTGGCCAACCGTGCTTATCGGAGGTGCGGGGGAGAGGACAACAAACTAAACACAAAACGCAGTTTTAAATAAATGAATTTTCAATCTGGACGACTTAAAAGTGCATAGCTCCAGTGGGTTCTTAACGCAGTTTCGACAGGAAGAGCGTTCCAGACGGTCGCAGCAGCGCATCTGAAAGTGCGCGCTGATGCAGTGACCACCGAGTCACGTCCACCACGGAGATGGAGCGACGGAATCGGCTCGTGGGCAGGTGCAAGACCCGTGAAGGATGGCGACGACTTGGGGATGCCTTCATCCAGCAGTAGATCGATCGTGGCTGACGATGGAGGTTTTATTTTTTACTCCGCGCAGCGCGGCTGGGTACGTGGCCGCAATGCGATGCATTCAAGTGAAGCGACATTTCGTGCATTTCGCGCAATTATTACGGGCCGCATCCCGCGATTTCCACCGAGCCGAGTTGCTCTGACGGATATCCACACCGCTCGTAGGCGGTTGCGGCAACGCGGGGTCGGTGGTGATTCGCGTCATCTCAACGTTTGTGGACAAAGCGAGCGGCAGGGTGCGCGCCGTGGCTGGGGTTGACGTGACGAGCCCTGCTCGAGAGGCGATATCCATTGTTGTACACGTAGCCGGCTTTCGCGACCAATATCATCAATAATAGAGGGTTGTTTTTTTTTGGGGGGGGGGGGGGGGGGGTTAGATCGCATAAATGTATAAATGTGTCGTTAAACCCGCCACCACCCGACACAGCTAACTAGTAAGCATTGTCACGTAAACAGAACGTGCCAATTCGTCACTAGAACAGCACTGATGTATAGTGTAGTGTATAGTGTAGTGTATAGTAGTGTAGTGTATAGTGTAGTGTATAGCGTAGTGTATAGTGTAGTGTATAGTAGTGTAGTGTATAGTAGTGTAGTGTATAGCATAGTGTATAGTAGTGTCGTATATAGTGTAGTATATAGTGTAGTGTATAGTGTTGTGTATAGTGTAGTGTATAGTAGTGTAGTGTATAGTGTAGTGTATAGTGTAGTGTATAGTAGTGTAGTGTATAGTGTAGTGTATAGTGTAGTGTATAGTAGTGTTGTATGTAGTGTATAGTGTAGTGTATAGTAGTGTAGTGTATAGTGTAGTGTATAGTGTAGTGTATAGTGTAGTGTATAGTAGCGTAGTGTATAGTAGTGTCGCATATAGTGTAGTGTATAGTGTAGTGTATAGTGTAGTGTATAGTAGTGTCGTATATAGTGTAGTGTATAGTATAGTGTATAGTAGTGTTGTGTATAGTGTAGTGTATAGTAGTGTAGTGTATAGTGTAGTGTATAGTGTAGTGTATAGTAGTGTCGTATATAGTGTAGTATACTAGTATAGCACACCGGTGTGTTGGAGAGCAAAGCCACAGCATTTACAATCTGAGGACGACGTTTCGCCAGTAATTACAACTAGCTTCATCAGGCGACGGCCAGATTTGTAAAGCAAGTTGTAATTGCTGTCGAAACGTATTACTCTTTGGTTCTTTCGGTAAAGTCACGTAGAAAGGGAAAAATAAATAAATAACAGCATACGACGTTTCGATTGCAACACAAGCAATCATCATCAGGTACAAATGAAAGAGAAAACAAACAGTAAACTTAGAAATATAATGCAATACAACACAGAGAGTCGGCCAACACAACAGTCAACACCCTACCTGGTTGATTAACGTTCTTCCAAAGATTGCTAAATTTGAGAGAGAGACAAAGCACAGACATGGAGACACACAGACATACACATAAGCAGAGAGAGACATACACAGAGACACACAGAGAGAGAGAGACACACACAGAGGCACACAGGAAAAACAAAATTTCACACTTACTGTAACTTCTAATTTAGCAATCTTTGGAAGAACGTAATCAACCAGGCTATGTGTTAATTGTGTGTTGACCAACTCTCTGTGTTACATTGCATTACATATCCAAATTTTACTAAGTTTGTTTGATTAAGTGTGTTTTCTCTCTCTCTCTCTCTGTGTCCTCGTGTTGTTGCTCTATTATTTCCTGCAGTCACGAAAGCTCCAAATCTCACATTAACATGCTAATTTCTCTACCCTCCCCCTCTCTCTCTTTCCCCCTCTCTCTCTATTTAAGGCCTCGACACAGAGGCGTTGTTTTTCTGTGTGCCTATGTGTGTCTCTCTCTGCGTGTGTCTCTGTGTTATCTCTCTCTGCGTATGTGTCTGTCTGTGTGTCTCCGTGTCTGTGTTTTGTCTCTCTCTCTTAAATTTAGCACTCTTTGGAAGAACGTTAATAAACCAGGTAGGGTGTTGACTGTTATGTTAGCCGACTCTCTGTGTTGTATTGCATTATATTTCTAAGTTTACTAGGTTTGTTTTTTCTTTAATTTGTACCTGATGATGATTGCTTGTGTTGCAATCGAAACGTCGTATGCTATTATTTAATTTATTTTTTCTTTCTACGTGACTTTACCGAAAGAACCAAAGAGTAATTCCTGCAGTCACGAAAGCTCCAAATCAAATTTGAAACGTATTATTGATCCATTGTTGCATTGTACATCTAGGCTCCCCTGTCTTACCTCCCCGCCTTCACCAACGCACAAATGACCCATAATCCGTCGTGCTCGGAAGCACTTGAACACGTGCTCCTGTGCGGATGACCCTCACACACCACACCATACACACTCAAGCCGCTCGAGTGGTCTTGGGATTGGCGAACCCGAACGCAACACAGGCAAGGTCATGATGAGTTATGATCTATTTAAAAAAACTGAAATATTTTTTAAAAAAAAAATTACTTTAGCAGGTAATGCCCACGAGCTCTTTTTCATAAGCGATCTGTCCACAATTGAAAGCTCAACCAAGTGGTTTATCATGTGGACATTTATAATAGCCAAATACTCGGAACGCGTGATGTTGATTCTAAATGTCTAGGGGAAACCCGGGAGGACCCGGATAAAAATCCACACGACCACGGGGAGAACATGAAAATTCCAAATATACATCAGGCGTCCGTGTCGGGATCGAACCCAGGACCTCCTGTATACCCGGCGAGGGAGATAACATCCCCTAGCCACCACGGTGCCCCCCCCTCCCATCCGATCGCCCAGGGCGTAACAGAGAAATTAAACGCAATGCTCACTAATCAAATGTCACGAGGAACTGTTCTTAGTATTGCAGCAGCAGTGTGAAAACAACGAACCCGGCCACCGTCATTGGCAAACACATCACCTGTGCCTCAACAGCTGTCGCCAGGAATCCATCTCCCACGTCAAATGTTCGCAGGGCCCTTGTCGACTTTGGCAGGTGGTGGCATACTGGATGTGGTATTCCGATTGCGGACATTTTTTTTGTCCGGGTCATCGACCCGGGATAAAATTAAGCCCTGCCTCCCAACTATACGCATAACAGGGACATTTTGTTATCCACAATTCCTGTTATCCACAATTTAGCGGATAACAGGAAGACGGTCAGGGGGCTTTAACCCCTAAACTTGCCGGGTCCGTGCGGGGACGCAGCGAGCACAAAAAGGCCCCGCACCTCGAGTCCCCACGCCCGGCCGCCTTTGTCTCCCCCCCCAGCGCCGTATGGCTCAGTGAGCATAGAAATCCCCAGCAGCACCTCGCTGGTCCCACGCCCGGCCGCCTTTGTCTCTCCCCCCCTCTCCCAGCACCGTATGGCTCAGCGAGCACAGCACCCGCGTCACGCGCGGGGCGTCACGTCCCGCGCGTGACGCCCCTGGCACGGAGACGTCACGAAGCCGAGAGACGCGGCGGAGGAGGAGGAGGAGACGGGACACGAGAGAGACGGAGAGACAGCGAGGAGACGGAGAGACCAGCGAGGAGACGGAGAGACAGCGAGGCGACAGAGAGACAGCGAGGCGACAGAGAGACGGCGAGGAGACAGAGAGACAGCGAGGAGACAGAGAGACACCGCTGGACAGAGGCACCGCGCGTAGCTGAGACACCGGCCAATATCTACGCGGGCGAGCGGGCGGGTGCGAGCGAGCGAGCGAGCGCTGCCGAACGAGAAGACAAATTCGTGCGCGCGGAGGGACGGAAGAGGCGAGCGGATAAACGAGTGGAGACGGGCGGACCGGCCGCTCGCTGGACACGGACAGGCGGCGGGTCGGGCGGATGAGGAGGGCTGGGGGGCCTGGCAGGCGAACGGACCGGATAAGGGGTCACGCAGTTGGGTCGACGGGCTGATTAGCGGGCAAGGCGAGCGGATCGACGGCCGAAGACGAGCGGACACGCGGAAAGATGGACGGAGCGGCTCCCGCATCCCCCCCGATGACGATGTAGCAGCGAAGAGGTGAGGGCACACGTGGGGGGTGGGGGGGGGGGGCATTGTGTCACGCGGGGTCGCACCCCCCCCCCGACACTGCTACACGATGGCGTGCGAACACTGAGCACCAGAGGCGTGAATAACCATGTACACACCGGGGCATTGCGGCAATTGATACACGGCGGGGGAGCATTGGGTACCAATGAGGGGGGGGGGGGGCAATGACACACAGGGGCATCATACGTGGCGCGTGTGTACACGGTGTGTGTGTGGGGGGGTGGTGCACGCAGATCGTGCACACACGGGAGAGGCTTGTGTATGCGTGAGGGTGTCTGTCATCGGCGGGATCGTCGATCTGGGGAGGATGCAGTGGGGGTTCACGGGGACGTTCGAGGATACCCGAGGGTGTAAGGGACACTCCGAGACAATTGGCTCCACGGGGCAGCGTCTGTGCGGATCGACACCAGCCCTGGGCTCTTCCCTCCTCTACGGCGGCGGCGGCGGCAGCCGCAGCAGCTGTTGCTGCTGCTGTCCGTGTGAGCCGTAGTCGCTGTCGCTGCTGCTGCTGCTGGCATTACTTCTGATCGACGATTGATTCTGTCGCTGTGTTTTTGTTCGTGTTGGTGCTCTCGGCGACACGCAGCTGTTGTGGCGGTAGACATCGCTGTGTTCATGGGATCTGCCGAGGTTTGCGGCTGTTGTTGCCGATGATGCTACTGCTGCTGCTGCCGTGATATGGCTCCTGCCGGCGTTGGTCTTCTCCCTGCCACCACAACTGATCCCTGTCGCTGCCATTGTCCATGCAGAGGCTGGTTTTGACGTGGCTGGAGCTTGCTTGCTACCTTTACCATTGCTAAAGTAGCCATTGCTTGCTGCTGTTACTGGCTTCGATTATGACCCGCTGGGATTTTTCTTCTTCTTCCGTTGTGGTCGATGCTGCTGTTACCCAATGATGCTTGCTTGCTGCTGCTGCTGAGTAATCTTTCATTGTTGCTGCTGCTGCTGTTCGTGCTGCCGTTTGCGCTGTTGCTGATTGCCGCTCTGTCGCTGCTGTTGCTGCTGTTGTTGTTTATGTTTGTAAGAGAACAGATTCCCCAGGTTCGTACAGACACACGCACGCACGAGCGCGCTTCTCAAATGTCGCAAATTGGGGGCCTTCCTCCCGTAGCGTAAAAACAATCTTCTGGCAAAACAATCTTCTGGCAACAAATACAGCAGTGGTGGTGCATTGCTGGCCAGAGCTGGAGCTATTTTCGGAGCCTGCTGCTTCCCGTGGCTTAAGTGTGCACGGGCCTTAACATTGAATCTCAATAACCATAACAACAACCCCGAAGGTGCCTTCGTCTGGCTCTGTGAGCCGCAGTTATTGACACCGGACCCTCAGAATGTTATTCAATGTTTTGCGGAAGTGTCATTGAGTCTCAGTTAGTGACGGCGAACACCTTAAAATCATCGCAAGCGTGCCTCGGTCTGTGCTCTGTTGTGAGCACCGAATCAGATGAATCCTGAAGGTGCCTTGGCGTGTCCTCTATGAACCTCGGCCGCACTGAACCTTTATTGATCGAGAAGTGTTTGATGAACCCGTTGCGTTGTTTGATCGAACGCTGGTGGGCAGTGCAGGTTGGTGAAGTGGCGGTTAAGAGCGCACTGCGCTACGAACCCGGGGACATGAGTTCGATTCCCGCTCACGGCCAACACCGGTGACGGTTTATCTGAACCCGCCCTGGGCCTCCCCAGGAAGGTCGACTCAGCCTCAAATGAGGACCTGGTGCAGTCTGTAAAAACGTCGTCGCCACTGGGGAGACAAATGCGGTCGGGCGTGGTGCCGGCCACCCACCCACCCCCTCGTGTTCCAGGCCGGCCCTTCATTGGTGCTACTCGCTAACAACATTTGCCTCAACAGTCTGTTACGGGGCTATACGGGGGATCTTTATCTTTGGGGTGGGGAGGCGCATGGGATGGTTCACGTATCACTCATCACCACCCATGTTAGCCCTAGCCGGGAATCGAGCTGAGGTTTTGTGGGTTCATAGCGCAGTGCGCGTACCAATAGCGCCATTGCTCCACCCCCTTTGCCGGTTGTAAGCATTCGACTCAAAGACAAGAACACTGCTTCCTGTACTGATGGGAGGAATAGGCTAGGGAGACCGACACGGAGACACACAGAGAGAGGGAGAGATACGGAGAGAGACAGAATCCCGGGAGGCAGACACTGAGACAGACACACGACTGATATATTTGGATAGAGACACAAAAACAAAGAAACCCACACACACAAACCAGATATGTGAGAAAGAGAGACACACACGCATGGATACAGACTTAGACACAGATAGAGAGACGCTACAGAGACAAAGCACAAAGACGTGTTCGGAGAGTTACCGAGAGAGGAAATAATTCTGGGAGGCCCTGTGCACACGCACGCACAGCACAGCACAACCTCGGAGCTGCGTTTCAGCCGGGTCTGTCCGGGTAGGTGACTCGCAAAATATTTCCCGCACCTGGCACACCACGTCCAGTATCGCCCCTCTGGCTACGGCTGCTGTTGGCCACAAGGCACGTGCCTCCTCTGCAGCAGTTTACTAATTTCAGTGAGGGATGACGCCCCCGGCGATACAGCTGTCGTGGAGCAGAGGCGGTGTTTGCCAATGACGGTGGTGGGGCAGTTCGTGACGTTTGTATGAGACTGTGACGCCATGGATGATCATAACGCCGTGTGTCTGTTTTCATTGTAATCATGACCCTGCCGGTGTTGTGTCCGGGTTAGCCTTGACCCAAAACAACCAAACCCCGAGACCACTCGAGTGACTTGTGTGTGTGTATTTTTTTTGTGGTGTGAGGGCATTTGCAGAGGAGCGCCATGATTTTAAAAGCAGAGTTAACCACAAGTGTCTCTGTGGTCAAAGCTGGTGGTGGTGGTGGTTCTAGAGGTCCCCACAAGTGGAACTGTGATCAAAGGTGGTGGTGGTGCAAGAGTGAACCACAAGTGGCTCTGTGGTCAGAGCAATCAGCTCACGATAGGGAAGCTTGTGAGTTCAAATCCCAGCTGGTACATCAACTCGGCGTTTTCATCCTCAACTGGTTGATTAAACGAGTGCCACTTTGTGGGAAGTCAGCAGTGGGTGTCCTTTGAAGAAACTGGCCCCAGTCATAGGAATGTGGAATCCTACCAATGTTTAACATGTAGGCAATTGCGACGAATATTATCCACAATAGAGGTGTTTTAGGTGAGACCGAGTAAATCTAAATGTGTTTCGATTTAAAGCTTTCGTGACTGCAGGGATTCATCTTCTGGGTTCTTTCGGTAAAGTCACGTAGAATGAAGATAAAATAATAAAAATAATAATAACAATAAAATTCTCACGACGTTTCGGCCACAACACAAGTAGCCTTCCTCAGGTGAAGAAACAGGACTGTCCGGAAGACAGCGCTTGAGTGAACCCTGCCAAGCATGGCAGCGTCTTTTAAGCTGTGTGGGAGGAACAGAGCGCCTTGACAATGGAGTTTACATATAAATTAGCATGTAACTGGGGGATTAGCATGATGTTGGTGTGGGAACGGAGGAGGGGGAGAGGAGTTTGCATATAAATTAGCATGTAACTGGGGGATTAACATGATGTTGGTGTGGGAACGGAGGAGGGCGGAGAGGAGTTTACATATAAATTAGCAAGTAACTGGGGGATTAGCATGATGTTGGTGTGAGGGATTAGCGCCCCTCCTCCGTTCCCACACCAACATCATGCTAATCCCCCAGTTACATGCTAATTTATATGTAAACTCCTTTGTCAAGGCGCTCTGTTCCTCCCACACAGCTTAAAAGACGCTGTCAAGCTTGGCAGTGTTCACTCAAGCGCTGTCTTCCGGACAGTCCTGTTTCTTCACCTTAGGAATGCTACTTGTGTTGTGGCCGAAACGTCGTGAGAATTTTATTGTTATTATTTTTATTATTTTATCTCCATTCTACGTGACTTTGCCGAAAGAACCCAGAAGGTCTAAATGTGTTGTTAAACCCGCCACCACCCGACACGGCCAATTAGTAAGGTTTGTCACTTAAACAGAACGTGGCCAATTCGTTACTCGTACAGCAACACCGGTATGTTGGAGAGCAAATCCACAACATTTACAATCTGAGTACGACGTTTTGCCAGTAATGGATTCCATTCCTACCAATGGAATTGAAAACGCCTTTCGTGATGAGCACTGCCCCATGTCCATTCGAGTGTGGACACACCCTGACCCTTTATTTAACCTTGTCCCAGCACGGGGCTTCACCTAGGTGTTTACCTATGTTTTTTTCCTCCAGATAACGGGTATTTGAGTGACCTCGTCGATGCATAGTGCTGCACACAGCACGTTTATATGTTTTCTCTTCTGTCTTCTTTTATTGGAGCTCTGCATTGACAGCTGCTCCTGGGCTGCCACCTCCTCTGCCCTCTGCCCTCCTCTACATAGCCACGCTCCCTTCAGCTCCTCGCCTGTATTCGTAGTTAGTTATTTCCTTTCTGAAAGACCATATGAGTGACATGTGGTGGTGATATTTATGATGCTGCTGGTGGCGATTATGGTGCAAGTGTAGTGATGGTGATGTTGTGTTGGTAGTGATGGTGATGATGGTGCCGGTGGTGGTAGTTATGGTGTTTGTGCGGATTATGATGGTGCTGGTTATATTATTGAAACCAGTGATCCCAGTTGACATTTCGAGCCTCCAGATTCATGCCGTCCCACTCCCCATGACAGGACCTCTTTCTCGATAAACAACGCACACACCCATGCAGCGCCTTCTAACAAGCTCATTAAATATTGAACGTTTTTTTTGTTTATTTTGTGCTGCCAATTTAAATGCGAATGCAGCCCTTGCGACCTCTGCACCAAATATTTGCCCTGTGTTAAAAGTTGGCCAAAGTAGAACTGGTGTTGCTTATTCATGGATTGGTGGTCTCTCCACTAGCCCTGTCTCCGCATCTCTGGGGGCGGAGTGGTAGCAGAGCTGCTGTGTGGCCGGTATCCACTGCAAGAGTGATTCACAA